GTTTGAGATCTTGGTCCTTTTTAGCTGTTTTTTGCTTGTTTTTAATGTTTGAGTGTTTTTAGTGTTGATTTTTTTAATTGTTTTTTGGCCCCTCATGTACAGCACTTTGTGTCAGCGGTTGCTGTTTTAAAGTGCTTTAAAAATTGAAATTGATCAGATTTGATTTGATTAATGTCTCAATCTCTATGGTTTGCTGCAACRTACTTCTTTAGAATACTCACTACGGTGCGATTTGCCCGTTCGACCTGGCCAGATGCCTGGGGATGATGGCCAACATGGACGTTTGCCTTTATGGCCAGTGTTTGCCACAGTTGTTACATCACCTCTGAAGTGAAATGGGTCCCCCTGTCGGAGTTAACCCATATTGGGAATTCAAAAGAGAGAAAATGTGGTTCATCAGCAGACAAGCGGTGGTTTGCGCTGTTTCATTTGGAGCTGGTAAACTTTTAACCCATTGGGTAAATGCACATGTCACTGTTAGGAAGTACTTGTTACCTCTGGATGTTTTGGTGAGTGGGCCCACCCAGTCGATCTAGAGGTCAGATCATGAGAAGGAGATTTCTCTACCATGCAGAAGCGCTCTGTGAGCAGGATTTGGCAACTCAAACTGGCAACAGACCAAGCAGCCCTTGGCATAGTCTTTTACATCTTTCCACATTCCAAGCCAGTAGGCGACCTGTTTCAAAGAATCAAAAGTTTCTTTGACTCCTTTGGGTGGGAAGGTCATGGGCATGGACCAGCATCACCCACTTTGGTTACGTGGAACCACAAACGCAGTTGAGGAAGTTTCTTTGGAAGCATGCACCAAAATACCTTTTACCAACTTAAGGGAAGACCGGATCTTGTAGAGGGTGCGAAGGTCAAGGATGCTGTTTAGATCGGAGTCRGAAGGTTCATTATTGAYRGGGTCAGTCAGGTAAWGTATGAGTTTCTTGATCACTGGATCAAGAGATTGAAGAGTGATAAGATTGTCGTCCGAAAATGCAGGGTCAACCTAATCCACGTCACAACCTCACTGCATTGGCTCAGCCCAACCTGCAGCTTGTGAATGGGTGATTGCATATACTCCTGGGTTTGGAGTATCTGGAGTGTTTATAGGTGACTGCGAGTAGTTGAATGACCAGAGCTTACCACTAATGGCTACTTTCTTTGCTAAGGGGTCTGGCAGATTGTTCGTATCTTTGTCTTTACTTGGAATGTTATGTAGCTTCTCACGTTTGGTGTTCTTGAGAGTGTCAGCCTGACTGACCACTCACTCGATCGGTTCCAAAATGTCAGGACCAGGGTCAGGTGGTAGGTGGTGCTGAGACTTTTTTTTTTTGGATGGCCACCCTTCTCCCCTTATAGCCATCCTGTCCACACCATTATGTTTTTTTGTGAAGAGAAAAT